TCAATCGGCACATGCTCGGGTCGGCACGTAACCTCGGTGTTATCGCTGCAAGATGCTTGATCCGACCCTGTGCAGTTTCACTCCGCGATATCTCAAGAATTTGCAAACAGCACATAAAAATTGGGCGGTGATCTTTTCGTGACATAAATGCACCCGCCGTCTTAATACGGTTTGTGCTTCAGTCGTTTTCATTTACGTGACAGATAAAATAGAGACATACCCGCCAAAACCCTTTTCCTGGTAATAACACTATGCAAACATTCCTTTGCTCACAGTAGCGAGAATATATTTAGTGGTTTCTTAAAGGGAGACATCGAGGAAGAGAAAAGTTTCCATTTCCTTTAAGTTCAATTAATGTGTATATTCAAATGATATATTTAAACAAAATCCCTTGTGATTCTGTTGTCTGCGTACACGTCAAGTTTCCAGTACACCCTCACATACTTGAGACATTGATGTCTGTCTGATATGAGTTCTGGTCGCCTGTACTCCAGGTTAGACTAACATCTAGTCTCCTACTAAACAAAGTTTAGAGAGAGTTAAATAAACTTCATAAAATATTTTAAAAAGGAGTCAAGGGACGTTCTTCTTCTTCGGTAATCTAGACTTGCCAGATGTTTTAGGCTTGCCTGTTTTTCTTTGGATATCTGCATTTCAGAGTTAATCTGTCTCACAGTACCTGAAACGTATTATTTTCGAACTGCTTAGCCCTCCCTGCTGTACTAAAGCCCTGAATGAAGCATGTCTAGATTTCCTCAAGTTCTAAATCTCCCATCTCATTGGGTCTCCTTTTCAATTTAAATCGAATTTTTTTTGTTACTGTCAAAATTATATATAATTCAGAGTCAAAGTATTAGTCTGTTCCAGGGTCTGTGTCACAGACTGCTCTAGGAGCCTTGTATTTTTCATAGTCTCCATTGGACCCTACCGAAAGTCGTCATAATCACCATTGCAACCTAATCGGCGGAAATATGTTTCAGTGATTAACAACGAGCCAAACAAACACAATCATATTTCGTTCCGTCTACAGCAGTCAGTACGTTAAGTGTAACCTTAAACAAGGAAGAGCATCGCTAGAGGTCGCCTATCGCAAGACTGGTTTCCCCTTAGGCCTGGCCTTGCCCGATGTCGCAAGGAGTTGTCACCCTCTTATCGCACGGGCATTGCTGAGGCTCTGAACCAGTGGTACTACTTGTCACACCTTGTAAATTAGATACAATCAACTTATATTGTAACTGATATTTCGCAAAGTAGATCAGTGGCTTCTTCGATACAGATTATTGTACCACTGTCACTACGCTCCGTCGCACTCCAAAATAAAAGTCCTTATCAATAAAGTTTGTGAAATTTTGTACTTCCTAACTTAAAGAAGTTATGGCCACGTATGTTCCACTTACAAACAACATGCTTTTTTATTGTTTTAATGAGCAATGTGTAATTCGAAGGGTACTGTTTTCATAAATTACGTAAGGACATGCATGTTTCAAGGACGGGGAGTGAGTGAGTAAATGTTGCTTTAAGCCAGATCAGCAACTTTGCAGCTATTTCTGTGAAAACAGAAACAGACACAAAAAAACAAGGTCCTCTATTAAAAGATCCGGATAAACAAGGTCTGTATTATCAAGATAACAAGGTCTTCTATTAATAAGAACGCGGAAAAAACAAGGTACTACATGGACAAGATCAAGAAAAGCAAGATAAAAAGGGACGCGAGTCCATATCATACGATCATGAAACAGAATGTTCCATATTAGCAATGTACTGACACACATGGTCCCATACTAGTCCGTCTCACAGTCCCTGAACCATATTATTTTCCCCAACAGCCTAGCCCTCCCTTCAATGCTAAAGCCCTAAATGAAGCAAGTCTAGATTTTTCCCCAGGTTCTGAATCTCTGGTCTCCCTGGGGCTCCTTTTCAATTTAAATGGGCTTGTTTGTTGCTATCAAACTTATATATATTCAGAGACTAAGCGTTTGTCTATGTCTCATACCAAAACTGACTGACTGACTGAGTTTGGTTTTACGCCGCTTTTAGCAATATTCCAGCAACATCACGGCGGGGGACACCAGAAATGGGCTTCACACATTGTGCCCATGTGGGGATTCGAACCCGGGTCTTCGGCGTGACGAGCCAACGCTTTAACCATTAGGCTACCCCACCGCCCCTCATACCAACAAGTTCCCGGACACAACAAGGTCCCATTCCCAAAACTGCAATTCTTGTCAATCAGCTCTGGTTAACAGAATTTACTATTACCAAAAATCAGAAACATAGATATTTTTCCCTGTTAACTAAAGATAAAAATAGAAATCCCTTGATAACAAGACCTTTTGGAACATCTATCCGTGAAGCTCCGGGTTAGAATCGGCCTTCAGCAACCCATGCTTGTCGTATGAATCGGGATCGGGTGGCCTGACTTAGTTGACACATGTCACCGTATCCCAGTTGCGTAGATTGACGCTCATGATGTCAATCACTGGATTTCCATCCATCGTCATATGCCCGTAACATTATTAAACAACAGATAAGCAAAAAAAGGTCTTTGATTAATGTGTTTCCCAATTGACAGGGTCCTGTAAAGACAAGATCTCTAATAAGCGAGGGTCCACAATTCTTGGTCAACTTCCTCTAAGGTAGCGCTGGTACAAATGTTACTTCCGTGTCCAAAAGTTAACCAAATGTTCAACATATTCCCTTCAATTCGCTGTTATTAAGACCAATCATCCAGCGTAGAGGTTAAACCAACAGACTAACTTCTCAATGACAGTTGGCGATACCCTCCTCATCATCTACCCTTGAGAGAGACGAAGATCAACGCTGCTAAAACAAGGTCACCATCACAAAGGTACCACGCGCCAAAGGTTAACAGTAGTACCGACCCGAGAGCGCAAGAAGCCATTGCTTTCAGTTGTATTACTGTCAGGAAATAAAGCACCAATCTACAGCCTGTAATCCCGTGGTAAAACATCCGGCAACCCTATCCTCTCGAAGACAGGAACTCGTCTGAAGCGCCACAGAGGCCAGCGAACCGACGTCAGTTCATAAAGGTTCTAATATACCAAGGTTAACTAGAGCCTGAACTGTTGAGGAACCTCCATTGATATAGAATAGAGTCTGTTGGCCTGTGGAAGACCCGTGGAAGACCCCAGACGACCTGTATCGGCCCTCGCGCGTATCTAGGTGACCCAGACGCTCCTGGGGCACAGCGGACCACGCGAGAGCCGTCCCTTGACCACTCTGTTGACCCACATATTCGTCTTCGGCTACCGGTTCTGCGTAGATTTATGGCCTTTGAGTTACGCTAGAGTAACCGTGTCTGTATACTTATGTATGGCGGCAGGACGAGAATGCGAGATGTAGACTTTGTGGAGTGTCAGGGGTTGTAGTAACACTGCACGTCTCGTTTCACCCATGTTTTCCAACGCCCTAGACTTGCACATGTTTCTAAGGTAATAATTGATATTCTAAATGATAATTTCTAAAAATATAAATATTCCTCTAACATATATTCCGCTTATCTAGACTTGCCTCTCTGAAGGATTTAATTACTATACATCCATTGGCTCAGCATTCAGTACAGCCTTGAAGCCAGGCTACCTACGCCCAGACCTTAAGTACTGGCCAGGAAGAGGTAATTCGCATAACACCATAACATGACACTATATCCTGCTAATTTTCAGCGTTGGCATGCATGCTCTGTGAACTGTCATAAGCCATTGGCAGTTTATTTTCTTGGAACTTGCAATCTAGTATTTGAATTTTTCATCCTTCTTACAAACTGTTTACAGTTCAGATGTTTAGAAATGAAATATGTTGAACTTAAGAAAATATAAGTAAAGGAGCTAAGGAGCTGTACAACTTCAGCCTGCATTTCATTATGGTCTCGACACGCTTCCATAGAATACAATCATTCCAATTGTACATGTGGGATGGATTATTTGTTGCCGAGATAGATTGTATATTTCACTATTATGTATATATTTCTCGTGTTCTTTCACTGCTTTTGACATACTCGTGTGATAAGCCATTGAAAACAGTTTTTAGCAGGTTAATCGTTCCTTTAACCTTGAGCGAAAGTTGATCTACAATGTCAACTCGCTTTCTTTGACTAGGCTGCGAGATAAAGAGTGTAATTTAACAATACACAGTCACACAAGAGAAAGGTTAGATTTTCGAGATAATCCATGCTCCAGAAATACAGGTGCACGAAATGTTGACTGTATTCAGTCTCCGTCTAATCAACAGGTAAGAAAAGTTAACATGGTGGATAGGTATGAAGCTATGCGAAGTTAGCTTCCCTTTAAACATCGTTTATGAATAACTTAATAGTTTATTTCAGTGGATTTCGTAGTGAAAAGGGAGGCGGGGTAGCGTTCACTCGTCACGCCGAAGACCCGGGTTCGATTCCCCACTTGGGCACAAAGTGTGAAGCACATTTCTGGTGTCCCCCGCCGTGATGTTGCTGGAATATTGCTAAAAGCGGCGTAAAACCCCAACTTACTCTTAAGGGTAGCCTAGCTCGCTAGCTCACGCCAAAGGCCTTGGTTTGAATCCCCGTGCCCGTGGGTAGAAAGTGCAAAGCCCGTTTCTAATGTCCCTGCTGTTTTATTGCTAACTATACACACCCGTTTAATATATATTTTGTCCCCCTCATCACTCATAACGGGGTCCAGTTTCTCAGGTACACTGTTAGTATTTGCTCTGCAATATTCCAGCAATATCACGGCAGGGAACACCAGAAATGGGCTTCACACATTGTACCCATGTGGGGAATCGAACCTGGCTCTTCGGTGTGACCAGCGAACGCTCTAACCACTATGTTACCCCGCCGCCGCCGTTCTTTGGAAGATGATGCAGACTTGCCCTTGGATACGAGTTTGTTAGATGGAGGATCTTCAATGCGATTTAATAAGCCGATTCTTTCAACATTTCCAAAATTTAATTTCTTATTAAACTATACAAACCCGAACAGACAGATGAAGAAAATAGAGACTTACTGTATCCAAGTTCAGACTCCTTTACTATAAGTGACCGAAGCTCGTTAAAAGGTTTGTCCCTGTGTCCGAGTTCACCCTTGCAAGTCATTAGCATGTGTCTGCCTAACCCGTTATTCATTCCATACAAAAACCATTTGATCTTTCCGTTATGTATATCTGGTCGCAGTGTAAGTAGCCACGAGCGTGACACGATACCATTATGTCTGCGAGTAATGCCGTGTTTCGCGACTCCGTGCCATGGTCGCGTATGCTCTCTCAAATGCAGATGAAATCTGAAAATGACAATATTTTCTGGTTAGGAAACTGCAACAGGAGTTGAAATGGTACAATAGTGATTATTTCAGTAATTCAGAAAAATATAACCGAAAAAAATCACGATCGTCTCACCACTGCACGCGAAGCCCCCGTTCTCTACGAGGGTGATTACAAGAGAAATTATAGGACACGCAAATACACTCTCGCGTTCGTGACCACAAAAAGCACATTTTGTTATTCTATTCAACGTTTGGAGCACGATGTAATATTTCAATTATTCTCCTGTAATTGAATCAAAATAATGGAGAAATGAAACTAGTGACTAGTCGCAATGCTGTCGCGCTGATGAAAAGCCGTCTCTTGCATCGTTGTCAGTCCAGCGCACAACTGTGATTGAGCATCGAGATATATGAAAGAAGGAAATTGTTGTATTTTACACAATTCCGTTTTATGGATTCAACAGATTAGCAAAATGGGACATGTATAAATGAAGGTGACTTCAGATCGCGACGTCGGATCCATAGCCATGCTTCTTGTCTCCGGTCAAACATTATACAATTTTGTGAGAATTTCATCAACCTTTCCTTTGTTTTGTCTTGACCCTTAACACGCCGCATTCACCTTAAATCCGTTAAGGAAATAACCATTGAGCCTCCTGTCAGAGACTCGGGAGTAAGTTCAAAGAGCCTGGTCACCATTAAGATAAGGAGCCAGGGGTTCCACGAGCTGGATGCCACTGTGTCAGAATTCAATGCGTTTTTTAGCGAACGATGGATAGTTTAAACAGCTTCAGATAGCACTTGATATACAAGTTATATGCACAAGCTGGATGATGGAGGGGGTATCCTATGTTTCAGAGAACCTCATGTAGAAGAGTTTATGAATCTGGTCGTGGATGTTCTTGTTTCTTAGTAACGTCGTATTATATTGCGGTGTGATCTGTAATCTATCCCAGTTAACCGAAATATTTCAAAACGTTGCACTGGAATTGTGCGTTGATCAAAACGATATATCTCAGGGTGAGGGGCTATAGAAATTGAGGGAATGTTTAAAACAAAGGGCACAAAGCAAGATATGATGTTGGTGTAGACAACAGCATCCGGATTTATATGAAGAAAATATTCTGATATTTCTGGAAATAAAAATAGAAATAGAAATCTCATACAAAGCTCGAGGTCAAAGAGGCTCAACGTAATTTGTCCATCAGTACTCTTTACAGAAGTGTCAAATTTCTCCGTCATGTTTACCTCCCCAAACCTGTTCCCTTTCAGCTGAAACACCATTCAACAGTTACATCTCCGAGACAGTCATTGAGTCACATTAACAGGCTGGCAGACCTTAAGTACCACGTGACCTAACTACGGCGCAGTCTTTGTTCGAGACACGTCATTAAACCTGCCGCGGAAACAATTTGAGTTCAGAGTATTGTCAGTGTTACCTAATCCCCTACAACAGTGTTCTTATATGTTTGTTGGGACCTTTAAGAAATAAAGCTGTGGTCCACGAATTAGAATTTCTTTCCTGACACAAGTACGGAAACAGTGGTTAAGAACGTGGATCTTGGGGTCATCTGTACGTACAACACAACACACAACTGACAAGTCAATCGAAGCGATTCAATACACTTGCGATAATCCGGGACGCTTCACAATGGAGCCACATGTCCTACGTAAGACATAACGAGCCCTTTATCAGTACACCCCACTAACAAGTGGCCAGGAGTGGGGCCCATCCACCAACGAGCGTCCCATCTAGCTACACCGTTAATCCCTCTCGCCCCAGACACGACTGGGGTCAGACAAATCGAGGGTCTAGATCTGCGAGAAATTGTACATTAATACCGTAAACGCGCCGAGAGATTGGAGAAACACTACACCCCATAATATAGAGTTCCTACACTGCCAAAAGGTCTTGGTCGAGACTAGAAGTATGACTGGGCTCGCAAGCCACCTCAATCTCCCCGTAATCCTGAGATCCGTGCCCTGTGTCTAGGTTGTCAAGTCTTCAAGTCAGCACTCCTTCAACAAAGGCATGTGCAACTCGTGCGTACAGCACCGGTAGACATAATGACAGTTTAACGGTCAAATGTTAGGTTCGTGGTATAGTTTATCTCGACACAGTAAGAAAGATTAGTTCAGGATAGGCCAAGTACCTGAATACGATACAGGGTGAAAAATGAAGAGGTGTTTCTCTCAATCCTTATTTGCCCGTTAACGTATAAACAAAGGGCACGTGTAACACTGATACAGCCACAGACGACAAGGACCTCTGATTACCCTGCCCCAAGACAATAAAACATCAAGAACTCGTCATGTGGTGCCATCTGAAGAGTAAGTGTGCGAGTTAGATTCCACAAAGTTTTGAAAACTATTCCAGTGGCGTGTCAGCGTCTATTTAAAAAAGAATTAAGAAAATATAAAAACTAATAAATAAATAAAAACGGGCTGGAAGGCCCTTACCACATTGGAGAAATTTACGAGCATTGCAAACTGCTTACACGTCAAGGATCATAACCGTCGCTATTCCAGGATTCGAACCACGACTGAGGGCTATGTCCGGTTCAGAACGCTGTCTCTTCATTTGGAAGAAACCGAAAAAAATATCGATATTTTGTACTAACTCTTCGAATTTACAGGTTTTTAAGAGTAAATAACTGATGTTAATAAGCAAGGTATGGATTTAAGGTTGCATTCAAAATTGCCTCACTTATGAAGAGTGCGTGCGTGTGTGTTATTGAACTAGTCGGGAGTTTATAGCGCCATCACACTAAGACACCGGAGGCGGTGAAAGAAACTTTAATATGGTGTTTGGGTTGGGTTTCTCGACGCTCACACACACTTCTGATATCGGGCCATGTCAGATATTTTCTGGGGGAAAGCCAAAAGGAAAAGCGTCAATGAGGGTGGGTGATGACAAATTAACGATCATGATCGGCGGATCCTGGTACGAAGGTGCGAACACAAGCTCGTGATTTATGACAACGTTTCATAATATTCAGCACATCCTGTTCATAACGGGGGCGGTGGGGTAGCCTAGTGGTTAAAACGTTCTCTCGTCACGCCGAAAACCCTGGTTCGATTCCCCACATGGGCACAATGTCTGAAGCCCATTTCTGGAATATTGCTAAAAAGCGGCGTAAATCTAATCTCACTCACTGTGACAAAGACATTTGGTTTCTTAAACAGTAAGTAACACAGGGATCCGTTACTGAATGTACATGATTTACATGGCTTTGATCATTACCAACAGAAACAATGATATACACACATTGTACACATGTTGGGAATCGAACCCAGTCCCTCGGTGTAACGGGCAAACGTCATAACCACACGACTGGACCATGAACCACAAAGACGATTCACTACTAGTGATTGAGTTTAGTTTTACGCCGCACTTAGCAATATTCCAGCTATATGGCGGCGGTTTGTATATAATCGAGTCTGGACCAGACAATCCAGTGATCAACAGCATGAGCTACGCCATTGGGATACGTTGACATGTGTCGACCGGGTCAGCGAGCCTGACCACACGATCCCGTTAGTTGCATCTTTCGGCAAGTATGGGTTACTGAAGATTAATTCTAACCCGGATCTTTACAGGTTAGATTCACTACTAAACACTAAGTAAACCACCTGATTATATATCTATTGTTTATCTTCCATGCTATGACAGAATTACTATAGTGGTATTAATTAATCCTATATATTAATGAATTAATACTGGTAATCATTGTGCAGAATTACATTCTTGACCCATTGAAACTCTTCCACGAATAGTTCTCTACGAAGGATAGACTATACACCCGTCGGTCGTTTACCCTAGTTGTGGGATTTAGATTATGGGAAATAGATTAACATCAAAGTCAGTATTACGCACAACTGCAATAAACAAGGAACCTTTAAACCTCCAGGAGAGATGACGACAGTCTACTGGAAAATATTACCATAAAAACCCAGGGTGCCGTTGTACAAAGCGATCTTAGCGCTAAGGTTACCGTAACTCACATTCATTAACGTAGACTTAAGGTAGCCTTAGCGCTAAGGTTGTTTTGTACAACGGCACCCTGGCACCAAACAGCCTTATGAATTCCAAACAAAGATCAAAACAACGATCGCGGTTCTGTAAGACTGATGTCTTTAAGAAAGTTAAAAGAGTTCCCGGGGTTTGTCTGTTTGGTAACTCCATTGTTGAAAAGATTAGCTTTGCGCGATATAATTATTGATATTCTGAAAGACAAATGGACAAATAATGGAATGATTATCGACGTGGCTTCATAAAACTGCCTTTATGAACATAATGCTCGATAAATGTATCCATCGAGGCTCAGGTAACACTTCCTGTATGGTGAAGCACACCTCTGTTTCGAGTTATAGTTCTTGGGAAAATGGCTCCACTTAACTGGGATCCAACGATTATGAGGATATTACCCAGATGCATCGTGGGTACCAAGCGGAAACTGAAAATACAACGCCCAGGTGCCACAAGTAATTCTAGACTTGTTATCGATGGAGCCGAGTTTAGAAATTGAAATGTTTCTTGCATAATACCTCCGCGAACAAAAGAATGATGAAGGGGGTTCTAAGACCCAAGATCAGTAAAACGGTAAGCTGCAGACAAACTATTCTTTGATACACATTTCTATTAGATACGGTACTGAACACATTTTAATATATGTATAAGACACAGTCGTTTTGTATATGTAAAGACATTTTGTTGACCGGAGAAATAGGATTCCCACGGGAACGAAGGCTTAGTTACAAAGATTACTCCAGCAACTTTGCTATGATAATGATAAGCAGTTATAGATTCCAAACAAAGAAATAGTTTTCAATGATTCACTTATAATTACAAGCTGTGCTTAATACCAAAGATGGTTAATACGAGTTATTAACGTGTAATGATTTACAGAGCAAGGACGACATCTCATCACCATACAATGAGGCGCAGATCCGAGCCAGTATCTGTAGGTCATACTGCTCATTTGTGCTTGCTCTTTAATTTCAGTATGGTAGTGATTGCCGTTTGTCCTCTTGCATACTAATGATGAGTTATCTAATGGTCATAATTTATTAACTCAAAAGTACATTACCATCAATTTCAGAATTGAACGGTGAAAACATTCACAATTATTTTGAGATAAAAGCAAGTAAAAATAAAGAATAAAGAAAATATATTATAAAATCTTTTTTTCTAATCATTTCCATAATTGATCGATCTGATGTTTTAAAAACATACAAAACTATATGGTTATAATTTGGTATCACAGAATATGCAGCATCATATCAAACCATCACAGACTAGCTTTCTAGAAATGGCCAAGAACTCCTACGTCAGCAAGCCTGCGAATGCGCCTAAGCTCAATGTCAAGCGTACGCAAGCGCAATACACGTCGACGACCAGACGCACGGACGCCAGCGCCCTAGCCATTGCGCAGCCCACTGGTCACTTCCGGTGTGCGATATTCCATGTTATCCACGCCCAGTCTCTCAAACGTCCTGACCTCTGGCCTCCGAGCAGCAGAAGGTCCTTCACAAGCATCCGGGGATTGTCCTGAAATACTCAACACGGCACTGTAGTTCCTCGGACTCAAACTGTCACCACTCATCACGCTTCTGCCTGGCTGAGTTTTCCTGGGCATAGAGTAAAAATTACTTAGACTGGATGACTTTATGAATACTTTCTTCTTCCCAGAAGGATCTGGATTAGGTTTTGGATTGTCCCTGGTAACCAAGGACGTCTTTGTCTTAAAACTGTTGACCTTGAATGCCGGTTCCTTCTCCTCTGTCAAATTCGTCATAGCAGGCTTACCTGCAGCAGCAGCAGCACCTTTAGAGGAGATTCCATTTAACATGTCTCGTCTCTCCCTCCAGGAAGATGCACTGGAGAAGAGTGGTTTCCTGACACCAGGTTCTGCAGCAGGAGGGATGTCAGCCTTTGTTTGATGGCCATCCAATGCTGTCTTGCCCATTGCCTCCCCCACAGTCGCCATCCTGTCTAAGGCCCCGTGCTTGAAGAGCTGGGCCCTGGTGAGGGCATTTCGGGCAGCGAGCTGACCAACAGAGGGTTTCCTTTTGTAGAAGAACCGAGTGTTTGTCCTCGTCATCTGACCGGGTAATGGGGCATATAGTGTTTTCGAACGTTGAACCTGCAGCAAATAAAATGACAAAAATTGTTGACGTTTGATTTATATACCTTACTAAATGCCTTATATATATTCGGAGGGTCGGTCTTATTGTTTTCCAGGAACAAATAAACTGGATCGGAAAATGAAACAAATGATGACAACCACATTTGCCTGCAGCAGTTACAGTCTGAGAGGCAACGTGTTACCCCTGATTACGGATGTATCAGTAATTACATAATATCGTGTAACCCATGACGTGGTCATTCAAGCATAGACCTCTACTGAACGAGCATTATGGAAGCATTACACAATAACCAAAACAGCTGTTCGTCAGATCAGGTAAAATAACAGCAGGGCAAAAAAGTGATATTTCAAATAGAACAATCAAAACCATGCCATTGTAAATTTTGGTCAATTAATTTATGTTCAACAAAATAATTTCCTGCTTCAAATATCCGTTGTGTGTTACGCCTGTGTAATATGGCGAAAACCAGCATGGAGGTAATTATTTCTAGTGGCTGGATGTTGCATACCGTGCTGAGACAGGGTGCCATAATCAGGCAATTCTTATTCCGGACACATATCGTCGGCTTCATGGCCCGTTACACGCCCTCGATGAATCTCTTATACAAAGTATAAAACACATTAAATGAAAAACTGTGCAAACATAGATTTAGAAAATTGTGGAAACGGGGGACCCCTTAGAAAGTCTTGGCATCTAACGACAAACTTAAAATGAGATTCCTTTTCAAAGGTAAAATCATTTCTTGTCACACTCAGTTGAAAATATATTAAAAGTTTATTCACGAATCAGCACGGACTACTTGGCAGTAGTTTTACGCTACGTAACACCTTGGTGTTAAATGCGACGCTACACGCCCGGACCACCCTCTTCCTATTTCCGTGTGAATAGTATTACCCTTCTCAACAATCCGACCATTAAAGAGCATCCACACAGCTCAAACTGTCTCAACTTACAAACGCGAGTTAGTTACGGTGGACTTCTCTTTAAAAAGGAACAGTCTCAAATGCTTTACCTTTGGCAATTTCCTTTTTCTAATTACGAAAAAAATCATTAATTTTATTGCTACTTGGATAAAATGAGTCTTTGATATAACAGCAGTTACAGGTGATTGGGGAAGATTTATGTGCGCCAGTGTGATATGATATTATACACATAGTAACAACTCATATCGACTCGGTTACGTAATTGTCAGAATTAATGTCAAGATTCAGGATGTAAATTTACCTCATGCTGGCATTTGAACAAGAAATAATCTCATCGATAAAAAGGGAAAAAAAGTATCTTGTTGAGGATCATTGTCTCAGCGAGCTCAGGAAAGCCAATTGGTTAGAGCGACGATAAACAACGAAGACATGGGGTTGCTATCAAGACGACAATGTGAATTGTGGGGTTGGGCCTTTGTACAGAAGGGAAATTGTATTAACGACAATGAGATGTTTTCCCGCACGGAACACTATGACATATGGACATTTTATATGGTTTCATTAGCTGAGAAATACGCGCTTGACTTGACAACACTTGAGTGAGTTAGGATACCATAGTTAAAACGAAAGTACGGTATTTCAAATACTCACCATCAGATACAGTTTCTAAACCTACATATATGCACACAAAAGTGATGTAACGTTTCATCGTTGCTGACCTCTGTCATCAGTAGATAAACTCTTCCTATTTTTTAAGAAATATTTACCATCTACCATTCACTACATAACGAGTTTTCCCATCTACGGCAGCTAGTCGCCAATAAATATTATTATTAGTAATGCATGACGCCTTTGAAACATATCATAGAAGCATTGTTATCAATATATTACACTATTTGTAGTAGTTTATGTCTTTACAACTCCATGTCACCAATGCATATGCGTCATTTGCCATTAGCGTACATTTGACTGCAGCTTAATACCAATGTAACACACTGTTTGGCGTATCCACCGTGTGTGCGGTTTGTCACACCAATACAAATAACGCGACCACTATTCACATGACAAACACGCTTTATCACAGTATAATACTCATGTTTGTCATCATCCTTAATGCTCTCTATCGGTAATCACCTATGCCCACAGCTTTGACCATTGTTATGTTCATTAATGTGCTGTTAATGTTCTCTGAGCAATATTCCAGTTGTATGGCGGTCTTCTGGAACTTATCCAGTCTGGACCAGGCAATCGAGTGATTGACTTCATGATTTTCGTTCTACGCAAATGGGATGCGAGGACATGTGTCAAACAAGTCTCCGAGCCTAACCACCATCTACTGTTTGTTGGCTCCTTCGACAAGCATGGAAGATCAGTTCTAGCCCAAATGTTCACTGGTTCCATTGTTCTGTTGGCATCCTTTACAATAAAAGGTATTATGCCAGGAACAGAAATAAAGGATGTTCATGGGTTTAGGAGGTTCATGTGTGGGTTTTGGACAATGAGAAATCCCACAGTACATATGATGACCACACGCTTGAAACCCACGAGTGTGAGAACCAAACAGACCAGGTTCTAGTTGGTACCAGTTCGGAACCACGACTGGCAGATCCAGTCGGTCAAGGGAAGCAACTGTGCACATCAAGTTGTGAAGTACACAACTATCAACACAAGTACGGATTATGTTCATTAACAAGGACTTAAAAATTAAGCCCCAACAACATACAACCATCCATACGTTCAGAAAATATCAAACTATGGCAACGTGTGCCTACGAGTTATTACTAATTCGTTGAATATATATAATTAAATTATGAAAATGTAGTTAGTAGGGCCTCCGCCCCCCATGATGAATGGGTGGCCTAAACGCCTGCCATGCATCCTGACGATTCCAAAGCCGAGTCAAGCTTTGGAAAATATAGATGTTCTCTAATTTGCTGTAATGTTTTGTGTCGTTGATTACAACTGACACGACTGCATGGTATTCACCGCCAACTGCAGCGTTCCCAACCGTTAACAGCGTCATGCGCATGGCACATAGCTCAGACCTGACCAGAAGGGGGGCGTTTACACCAAACAAGCTGGGCGACGATAAAGTCACACCTAGCTCTTTCCGTCTGGACGACACGCGTGGATGGAGGTACCGATTGTGCAACATTACACCAGCAGACGACAAAATCGATGATATGTCGTCTGCTCAAGCCCAGAAAGCGCACGCAGGCCACGCGCCATTTACCGCATGACTGGCACCATTCTCGGTAGCACCTTGCAGGTAGCGCGGCATTCCGACTGGAATTGGTCTGTCGTCTGCGTGATGGATCATCGTTTGGGCAGGAAATGAGATAATCTGAGGCGATTTCCTCTGATATGGTCGTTCCATTCTGTTGTCCCAGTGGAAGCGAAATTGGCGGGAATGGTTTCGAGAGGATATGCGCCTTTTAGAACGCGGTGAAGCGAGGACAAAAAACTTTTGACTAATCGTCAGAAATGTCTTCCGAATTGACTCTTAATCATTCTAATGGAGAGGCATTAAATGCGCGGCGAGGCCGGGGGAAAGTGATAGCTTTGTATTAGACTGATTAAATAGTCACAGCTTGAAAAGGAAATGTCTTCCGTCCAAAACTGATATACAAACATGTTCCAATGTCTAATGGCGGCCTAAGTGGCAATTTGGTTTGTGCAAAGAAAACACTGGATCTATTATAAGGATAGGAAGTATTTGTGGGGCTGGGTTTACCTGATAGTTTGCGATGATTTCAAAATGAGAGACAGTCGTGTATCGGTGTTACCTGCATGATAGCCAAGTATTTTGGTTTCTTTCTTTGCGTTATCTTAGGGCAGCATAATATTGATTCCTTAAATCACATTAGCGCAGAGATTCAAAAAGGTATAATTCTAGAACTTATTAACTTTTCATTACAGTACTATATGCTCCGATGCTACTCGACAACGCTGAATACTTTAGTTGATTATAAAAATCACGATTTAAATACCCACTGGGAAATCGAGATATTACCTTGATATTAGAGTGATATAAAAAAAATATTTGTTGAAATATTTACTTAACATTTTCAAAAGCAAGGAAGTTAAAAATCAGTTTCATAATTTTGGCATAACAAGGTCTAACGCTATTCATTACATCAAATTTGGTTCGAATTTCGTTAATAACGATATTTGTTTATATCTCGCAAAGACACGTGTTAGCGTCATTGACGATGGTTGTCGGGATCACAAGTGTTCCGTAAAAAGTGCATGAAAATATGAATTCGAATACCGGGGACATAAGATTCGTAAAATACTGCTCACCTAACACCGCCATGCGTGTTTACGATTACATCTTGTGAAAATAAAACGTCTTTAAGATTTTCAAGTAATGCATATTTGAATTTTACTTCAAAGATAGTGCACATGAAATTTAAGTTCATAAAAGATCGTTTGAAGTTGAGGAAATACTTTTCAAACGATCCTTGTGAAACGAAATCCAATATGGAGCCCGTGATAAAAGGTGGGAGCTTTGTATTGAACTGAGAAATCTAACACCTTCACTTTCACGAGTGGAGTTCAAAAACTCCACCCGTTATAAACGCTCTGTGTCCTATGTGAAGCATTTCAAGAAACCTTTATTCTACTTTTTGCCTGGCTTGAAATAATTACGTAGTTAAAATTAAGACATGTCAATAAATATTCACTCGATAAAGGCAGACGTGTCATGGTAGACTTATCAGATGAACGCTGACAAAATGACCGGTTTCGTGTCTAGCATATTTCTAAACATACACCAAACATTAAGATGGAGTAATGCGATTGCTTGTAACAGCTAGCCCATTCTTATGTAAGCTGTGAGCGGAAAGATGGAAGTATTTTGCATATCACTATAGACGGGTGCAAAAAATAGATTCGTGGATGCATACAAAATGATTTTCCTCATTTAGCGTCACCGAAGAAACGACTTTAGACCTTCATTGTAATTAACAACAAAATACATGCCTTGTGTGGTCCTTTAAAGACTTTTTTTCCAAAATTTTGATAGACTGGCATTGGGTTTTACTATTTCGTCGTTTTTAATATATTTTTAT